CTCTCGCTCTCTCGCTCTCTCGCGCTCTCGCGCTCTCGCGCTCTCGCTCTCGCTCTCGCTCTCGCTCTCGCTCTCGCTCTCGCTCTCGCTCTCGCTCTCGCTCTCGCTCTCTGTCTCTCTCTCGCTCTCGCTCTCGCTCTCGCTCTCGCTCTTTCCGTCACAAGTTCAAGCCTGTAACGACTTCTAACTTCAAGCATATCGACACACTGGCGGGACAGCCAGACAGCAGACTACAAGTCTTCGAATGCCCAAGAATGTTCCTTTGAAGTTGAAGGTTGAGGGTCCTCTCGCAACCAGGGATGTCCCTTCAGACTGGTCTTTTCGCATTATAAGAGAGGAACTGAGAGGGCTGGGTTCTGGGCTTCAACGCGATTTCAGCTCAGGACCTTGAAGGCAGCCTGAAACCCTAAAGCACATGCAGCCCATGAAGCCTTGCAGGTTTAGGGTTTAGGGCTTAGGGCTTTGCAGGCCTAGTCCTAAAATAGAAACTCGGTCTCAGACTAATGTAGAAGCCTTAATAATTAGAATAGGGTACTGGGGTATATTCTACTATAACTATAATAAAGAACCCCCAAAATAGTATAGGGTATTATTTAAGCCCCTACATTATGACCTCAAGATTGGGCTCAGCAATACTGACAGGCTGGGGGATTTGGCTTTCACAGACACCAAAAGCAACGCGATGAGCGAAGGATCCGCATAAAAAGGGGCCTTAATACTTAGAATAGGGCTTTGCTGCCCCTTGTGCTATGATAAAAGTGAGAAACCCCCAACCTCGTATTGGTGATTATTCAGGCCCCGTTGTTTAGTCTATCCAGCTGGAGGCTCTGAAACTCCGCGTGTCTGGCCCCACAGTCAGGGTGGCAATGGCGGTGTTCGTGGGGGTTTAGGGTTTGGGGGTCGTCGCTGTCGTCGTCAACTGCTACTGCTACTGGTACTGCTGCTGGCAACGGTACTGGCACGGGAACTGGTGCATGACATGGTCTGAAGACGCAACACGGACTGGAATGAAGGATTTCGGGTTTGGAATCTGACCGTCTCCCCGAACCCTAAACCCGCAAACCCAAGGCCCTAAACTTGTGAATTACGCCCAAACCCTAAACTCCAAAACCGAAAAGGCCCTAAATCCTTGAATTTCCTCTTCAACCGACTCTGTGGAGCTGGCATGGCAATCCTCCGAAGGGAAGGCGCCAAGCTTTACCGGTCGGCAGGCTCCGCCCGATGCCTGGGTTTGTTTGCGGGGCCTTATGGATCAGAATAGGGACTTCGGGTCTATTATGCTGCCTGGACACATAGTAGGAACCCCAAGGAATTGTGTTTTTTCTCTGTGCTGTGCTGCGCTGTGCTAAAATCTGGTTTCTCATGGTCACCTTGGCAGCTCTTCCTTTCACAGCCCATAGATGACTTAGGGCTTAGGGTGTCTAGTTGAAGGCGAAGGACTTACGGTTTAGGGTGTCTAGCTGACAGGATCGATTGTTTTGTGTATTACTTTTTGACTGAGCATGATGCTCCTGTTTGACTCTCACTGTCGCAATGATCTACATTGTGCAGGGAGGCTCCGGTTGCTCATTGTCTGCGATGAATCGTACAGGTAGGGTTTAGGGTTTTGGGTTTAACACCTCACCAGCTGAAGTCTTATCGAGGCTGCTGGTCCTGTTCGATGCTGAATATGCTCCAACTTCCATCGAAACTATATCACTATGTCCGTGCCGGATCACTCTATTTTGGCGAACATGTTTAGTGATGTTGCAGTGTGCTGGCACATCGAAACAATGTTCATAAACGGCTCCTCTTTCGTGTTGCATGCTACCCTCCTGTCATCTTAAGCCATGCTGTGGCGTTTTAGATGTGCGTCGCTCGCCATGGTGTCCATATTACAAAAATCAGCAATATGGCTAGATGTCAGTACACTACTGCAAGGGCTGCATTGCTATCCGAGTGTATCTTGATCTTATGACATGTTTTCTCCTGAAATGCTGCATGGATCTTCCTTCCTACTACTGCATTAGCGCTGATGTGCAATTTCTGACTGCGCCATTACGCAGCTGAGTAGGTTTTCTGCCGGAACACTTTTCCTCCATGATTTTATGACCCTACCAGCCATGTCACTAGCACATCAGCATGTCGTGCGACAACACATAGTCTCAAGCCGTTGCGGTACGTAGCACAAAATCAGGCTGCTACATATAGATCTAACTGCAATTAAAGCAGAAAGCCACTTTGCAAAGCCCAAACCCGAAACCCCAAACCCGAAACCCTACACCCTGCACCCTAAACCGCCGAAAGCTACGTCACCCCTCTTGCATGTTGGGTGGGGCGGCCTTGTAAGCTTTGTTGGAAGTCTGGCGCGCGAGCTTGTGGAGGCCTCTGAGTTTCCGATGCTTTTTTTTGAAGTTTAGGGTTTAGGGTTTAGGGTTTAGGGTTTAGCAGATGTTTGGCGTTTAAGAGCTTAGGGTTTAGCGTTTTGATTAAGGGTTTAGGGTTACGGGTTTAGGATTAAGGGTTTAGGGTTTAGGGTTTAGGGATCAAGGTGTTACGGCTTTAGGGCTGTAGGGTTTAGGGTTTTAGGGTTCGGGGCTTTAGGGCTTTAGGGTTTAGGATTTAGGGTTTGGGGATTAAGGGCTTAGGGTGTCAGGGCTTTTAGGGTTTTAAGGCTTTTAGGCCTTTAAGTCGCGATCGGACACTCCGAACTTCCGTTCGCAATAGAAGGCAAGCAACACATATCTATATTGTATGTACATCTATATATATATATATGTATACATACATTGCCACCTACCTACCTGTCCATTGTTGAAATCCGTCTAGGAAAACTCGAACCCAAACAGGCAAACAGCTTATCCAAACTGGAAGCAAGAGTACCCTTTGAAGAACCACTGAAACCCTAAACCCCAAAGCCGTAATCCTTGTAGCAGCCCTTAAAGGAGACCCTCAACCCTAAACCGTCAACCTTACAGCAACCCTTACAGGAACCCTTGAAGAGTAAATGGAATCAGAATCCTTGTGAGGAGCCCTTGAAGAACCTATAGAGCAACCCGAAACCTGAACCCTTACAGTAACCCTCAAAGGAGACCCTATCAGAGAACCCTCTAGTCCCCTTTAAAGGGGACCCTGTTATAGAACCCTCTAGTCCCCTTTGACGGGGACCCTAAACCCTAAACCCTAAACCCTAAACCCTAAACCCTAAACCCTAAACCCTATTATAGAACCTAGCAGAACCCCTCACAGGAAACCGAGACCATGTGGCCGAGAAGCAGTGGTAGCCGCCGGGTGCCTTGGATTTCCAAGCGGCCGGACCTGTTCTGGGCTTTGGGGCGGAGAAAGACCGAACAAGGTGCTACCACTGTTACCAGAAAAGATCCAACAAGGGGATCTATAAGGGTACTCTAAGGGTAAGAAACGGGGTGGTAGGATGCTACAGAGGCTTCAGGCATCAGAGGACTGGGGCCTTCAAGTGTGTTTAGAGTTTAGAGTTTGGGTTTGAGGGTGGGGTTTTAAGGCTGTCTAAGAGTCTGGGGTTTAGGGAGGCTCGGTAGCAAAAAAGTGCTCCCAGGCTTGCTTTGGGTCAAGAATTCGACTTTCGGTTTCAGATTCCTTGCCCTGAACTCTAGACTCACGTGGATAATGTAGGGGCCTTAATAATTAGGGCTTTCTGGGGATTCCTCATTATATTTACGGTATAATCGACCCCCAACAAGCCCTATTCCATCCATTAAGGCCCTCATGATATGATCATTCCGGCTCTTGATGGATCTCACCACTCCCACGAATGTTACATCTTCTCCAGTAGAGGGCTTCGGGTGGGTTGCGGAAGCATTTGACGGGAATGCATGTGCCCTTGTCGGTTTCGGGTTAATGCTTAGGCTTCAGGTGGGGTTAAGGGCTTATATGCGGAGCATCAGCACTTCCAGAAACATCTGCGGCACCTCAAATCCAAAATCGTGCGTCATCAGGGCAGGCCCTATGGACACAGAGTTTCTGTACTGTAACAGGTCTCAACAAGAACAAAACACGGGAAAATCGGAACTGCAATACGCATCGCGGCTCAACCGCAGAACATTCACCAAGCCAGGAAGGATCTCGGGAGAATCTAAGGTGAGGACAGTTGTTGTCCGAGTGCCCGCATCGTGGAATATCCTCAGCCATGCGGGTACATGTTTGGTTTCTGCTTCGGTGCAGGGAGCGGAGTGGAAGGCGACAAAACTTTGGCAGATGAGGTCCCTAAACCCGAACCTCGGAATAATTAAAATAGAGCTTCGGGTATATTATCTTACAAGCATAATGAGGAACCCTAATGAGTGATAGTAGTAGCTATCCCGAAGCCTATATTAAAGGAATCCTGCTACTACCAGCCAGCACGGCCTAGATACTGAATGCATCTGTTCCGAAGACACATGTCTGCGGCTTACAGTGTGCTTTGGTGCTTCCAACCGCAGGTTGTTCTGCTGGCTTGGCACGTCATATCTTTGTCCTTTGTGGAGCGCGGTTTGGCATTGAGGGCTGCTGAGGCTGCTGCTTCGAGTGCAAGGCTGATGGTTTCTGCACTGCCCCGGCTGCTTGGCCCTAGGCCCTAGCTAGAATGTGGCATCGTTAATTCCCGCAGGCTGCCGCAAATTCAAACATGACATGTGCATTCTGCGAAGGGGGTTTCGGAGGTTTGCGTGAGGATTTATTACACAATGGTAAGCTGCTCCTTGCTTTCAACGCGACCCTCGATTCCAAAAGCCACAAGCTCAATCAGGACCGCCAAGCTCCAAACGCTAATATTCCAGAAACCCCAAAACCCATACAAACAGTAGCACGAAGCCTTGATGCAGCACAGCGGCCGAAGTGGCCGAAGTGGCCGAATGCCCGAAACGATGGCCAACATGGACGACATGATGGACAACGTGATGGACGACAGGTTCAGAAAAGCCTTCCATTGCGCTGTCATCGTACACCTCCGGGGCTTTGCACTCAAGGGGTTTGGATTTCGGGGGACGAAGCTGAAACAAGTTCCTCTTGAAGTGTAGGCTCAGGGCATGTGGCTTGGAGTTTCATAGGCTTACTTGGAGGGTCGAAGGACTTAGTAAGTAGGCACTAAGTAGAGTTATAAGTGCCCTAAATGGGATCCTAATTGGGGTTATGGTATTTATAACTCTGTAAAAGTAAGTACTTACTAAGTCCCCCGACCCTCCAAGTACGGTGCTAGAAGTTAACGGCCTCTTCTTTGGGGTGTTCATGACCCGGGCGCTGTGCTGCAGGGCCCAAGGCTCTGGCTGTGCAATTGGGGCGCTCATAATCGTGGAGCTGAGTACAAGGTCCAACACAACGGTTTAGGGATTTAGGGTATAGGGTTTAGGCTTCAGGGTTTAGGGTTTAGGGTTTAGGGTTTAGGGTTTAGGGTAGAAACCCTGTTCCAACGACGAACTGAGAGTATTCTGCAGCCACATAGAACACACAAGCAACCCCCTGAAACTACTCACAATACCGTCTCAAAAAAAAACTTATATTCAGACAGTACCAACAAACCTTCTGAAAGAGAGATGGGTTTAGTGTTTCGGGTTATACAAAACCCCACCAGAACCCAAACGCATGCACACAGAGCCCTGAAGCACCGCTTCCGGCTCGGGCGAGGCGTGGGTGCCACAGAAAACCTGGAGGAGCATGGGCTTAAGGCCTAAGGGTCTTAGGGTTTAGGGTTTAGGGTTTAGGGTTTAGGGTTTAGGGTTTTGGGTTTGGGGTTGAAGCAGCACATTCACTTTGTTTCCACTAACTTGCACTACCTTCCCAAAAATATGCATCGGTGTATGTGTATGACTGTGCATGTGCATATATATATATATATATGTATATGTATGTATGTATGGATGGATGGATGTATGTATGTCAGTATGTGCATCCTCCTGGACAAGAGCGCGATAACAGGGCATGAGTGAAGTCAGACTAGGCATGGGGCAGGGGTATCTCGATCTTCTTGTTGACGATTTACATATGTTTTTGTATTGTATTGAGAGTCCCATGACTTCCTTGTCTTTAATAGAACCCATGTAGACCTTGCCATGCATACAGGCTAGCAATTTTCGATGTCGAAATCCAACCACGTGAGAAAGCTCTGCTCAAGAGTCACTCCCAGAGTATGCACTGTATCCTGAAACGTCTCTCTATTCAGGCTCTTATTAGGGCTTTGGGGTTTAGGGTTTAGGGTGGGTTTTGCTGCTCTTCCAAAACTGTGACAACCCAAATCCGCCGAAGGGTTCAAAGTTCGAGAAAAGCCCTACGGCCCACATACACAATATTACAAAATCCTCCTTGACCTGAATTACCCGAAACTATAAAAAAATACGGAACCACTATACCGAAACGTTCGGTCCATCAACATCCGTCAACAACGCCCTTTAGCCTAAACACCAAACCCCAAACTCTAAACTCTAAACCCTAAACTCTAAATCCATCTCTGCTTCAGAGCGAAGACACCGAGTGCCGCTGGCAGCAATAGTCCTTCTTGGCCGTCGACCACGTGCTCCACCAAGACCCCAAATGTTGGTAGCCTTGGGGTTTGGGTGACTTTTGGGTTTCGGGTTTTCGGGTTTGGGTTTAGGGCTTATGGTTGAGGACTTGGTGTTGATAGCTTTGGGCTTAGGGTCCCGGGTCTTGGGTTCAGGTTGCAGGGTGCAGCGTGTACGGTTCAGGGTTTAGGGTTTAGGGTTTAGGGTTTAGGGTTTAGGGTTTTGGGTTTGGAGCTTCGGGTGTAAACGGCTGCCCGAAGAGCGACATCTTCCTCCGAAGAAGGATTTGTTACCAGGGTTTTTGAAGGATTTGGGGGTTTCCGAAAATAGTGGACCCTAATATAGTACCCTAAATAGTAGGATCCTTATTATAAGGACCCCCAGATAAGGTACCCCTAATTTTCGGAAACTCCCATTTATAAGGTTGAGGGTAAAAAAAGAGGCTTGTTCATAAGAGTTTTGAAGCAGTTAAGTTCTATGCGGCCTCTCCTGGTGATTGAGGTATCTGTACTTTCGTCACTTTGCAAACAGGTGAACAACGTTTATGGTAGCTGGGCCAAGGGATGATAAGGCCTCAGGCTTTGTTTGGAAGCACCCTAAACCCTAAACCCTAAACCCTGAACCCTAAACCGTCAACCACGGGCAACTGAAATCCGAAAGCTTGCCCAACCAGCCTAGATGTTAAACTACAATCCTCACTTGAGGCTACTACGGTGGATGGTATAAATCCTGCGTTACCCATAATGAGGAGGATACCATAGTTCCCATAGTTTGGGGTCCTTAAGGTAATGCAGGATTGATATCATC